AAGGGCATTTCTGTTGACGCTAATAGTGGCAAATCAGCCACATCGTCTTCCGAAAGTGCTAATATCTTTCAAAGTAAAAAGGATAAAGTGGCATCTATTGCTACAAAAATTGTGGACAACTGGGAAAATGAAGTAGTTAGTCCTGGTTTACGGGCTGGATATGCATTAGCTTCATTGATCTGTTTTACTCCTCAAATTAATGATTTTGATAAATTGAAATTGCAAACATCATACGAAATAAAAGATCTCAAAGCGACAAGATTCTATAAATTGATGGCAAACGCTATTCAGGATATTAAATTAACTGATCATTGGTTAATTCGATTAGGCATTGTAACGGATTGGTGCAATTTTTTTGAAAAGGGCTTGCAAGTGTTGTATGCGACAGCCGAAAAGAACGGAAACGAAGAGAAGGTTTTAAAGATTTTGGTAGATGATTTAATGAATCGACTGGGTGACGCAAGGTTCCCTGTTGCTTGTCAAAATATAATTTTAGCACTTACAGGTATTAATATATTTACTTTGGAAACAAGATGTATAATTATGTCGTGCTTAAATTATCGCAACGTATGATTAGGTTTATGCCTCGCACTCAAGTCGTTAAATATATCATCAAGTCAACAATACGCTATAATCACGTTGGGTCATTTCTTGGACCATTATTTTGTTGATGCGAGTTTGTCTGTCAAGCACCAATACGAACATCAACACCAGGATTCAAGCCTTATCGCCAGCGATGACGTTCAATTTGCTGTCGCAATGGCTTTAGGGTATTTATCCAGTTTAGTAATTATGAATGAAAAATTAGTACAGGAAGTGGTTGATACTTTAGTCACAAAGTTAAGTGAAGATAAAAAGTATGTAATATTCTTTTCATTTATAGTTTGATAAATACGGTTAAGTTATGTATCAAAATAAAAAAAATTTTTAAAGTTCTACAACAGGATGGACTTTATTTGGTGCAGGATATTCACTTGGAACACTTTTATCATATCTTGCTTCATCTCCAATGAAGACGTCTTTAATGTCAAACATTTGTTCGCAAACAGTGTCATTTCTTTACGATTTCATTTCAAATACACCTTCAGATAATTTGGAGCAAACTAATTCGCGTTTAGGCATTATGATTGGATTGTCAAACGTTGATTGTGATGACGAACCAGAGGTCGAACGAATATATCAAATGGCGCTATCCGATTTAAAGGAGTTTGTCGAAAGTGATGGAAAGGTTGATGAACGTATCAAAAATAGGATTGCTGGATCCACATGGTTTGTTAGTTTTTCGAGAGGTAAAAGCTTAAACGAAGAAATTATTGAAATTTTGGAAAAAGCAACAAAGATTTCGGGTGCTAAAGTAAGCCTAAAAATTTATTATTATTATTATTATTATTTTAATTTATTTATTAATTTACATTGCATAATGATTATATTCATCTAGAGTGAAATGTCCGAATATTATTTTCATTTTTCACAATCTTATTCGCATACTTTACAAGATATTCTCCAAGTAAAGCAATTGTCGCGTAACTTATCATCGTTTAATGCACTTATAAATTCATGTACTCGCATGCTCACGACAGTTGGTACAAATTCATCGAAACGGCACACTGCGTTGATAACAATAGGATCACTTGCAGGTGTTGACTACTTTTCGCTTCCTTATTATGCACGAAATAGAAATTTTTATTTCTTTTCCTCAGCTCCTGCTACTATTGTTATGCAAGTTTTGGATGCTTTGCAGAATGTTGCAGGACTTGGGTCACATGCTTTATCATCAGGAATGACTATGAGCGATGTTAAAGGTGGAAGATTAGCTGTAATTATTTTGGGACAATTAATGCAGGTTATCGAAAGAATATCTGAAGACACCGCGATGCTTATTGGTGATTCTGCGAGATCTGTTACAAGCAGTACTGAACCTAAAGACTATTCCAGATTACCTGCTTCAAGTTATTTGAAGTTTATGTTTGATCATCTTGTAGAGCTTTCATTAGGTAAAAAAAAAAAAAAAAAAAAAATTATTTTTAATCTTATAGTATTATTAATTTTTATTCACTTGTTATTATACGATAATGTTAGAGAATCGCCCATCAGACTCATCTATTGAAGCAGCGAGTTTGATTATTTCCACATTCTCTAAAATAAGTACTATTCTTCCTCCAGTAAACTGGTTTCCTCTTCTTGTGCGATTCAATAAACCTACTTATATGAAATTTGATTTGAGAACTCAAATCGTTATAATGGCAATACGACATTGTTTTCGTTCAGTATCATTAATGGAATTCCTTGTACATACATTAACCGAGTTCCCAATTATATGTTCAGATGATAATGTTGATATAAAATTTAAAACATTACTTATTTGTGAAGGACTTGGGAAAATTCTCGAATTATGTGGATTTGAAAAAGTCACTCAAACAACTAATGAAGCAGAGGACAAGCAATCTACTCAAATGCGAGGAGTAGAAAGTATTGCAAAAAAAGTAGTAGTACCAAATTTAAGAGTATTGGATATTGTTGATAAAATGACATCTTGTTTATTTAGTAATTCAGTTAGTCCCGAAAATAAGGTGTGTATTAAGAATATGTTGCATAATTGCTGGTTGTGTTAATTGTTTATTTTGATATTTAACATTTAGGAACTACAAGATATGCTCCTTACCACAATGAATGAATATATTTCAGTAACAAGCACCAAAGACGCACCATCTGCTGGAACCTTGGTTTCGCTTCAACAAGAACTTATTGAGTTATTGAAAGTTATCTCCCCTCAAATAGGGGGGAATGCTTAGTGAAATTGATATATTTGAGGGAATTTGATATATAAAAATTTATAAAAATTTGTCTTGTGGCTTAGGTTGATATTAACGAAGGTTATGTGTACTTTTTTAAATTTAAATTAAAATATCTTAACAACTATTAAATCAAACTTTATAAAGTTTTTTTTTTATTTTAATTTTATATAATTAAAATAAATTTTTTTATCAAGTTTCGTTTAATAAAAAATTTACTTACAACAATTTCCTTGGTTTCTATTAACCACCTTTATATTTATTATATACACGTATATTTTCTAACAAAAACATATAATTATAGCGCAGTAATCGATTATTATTTTTTTTGCATATTATGGCATAATTTCTCTTGTATCCTAATAATTCTTAATCCACGACCCTAAAATAAAATAATAAAATTAATAAAATTACAGTATCTTTAAATCCACGCATATACTTTTGTTAATAACTATCGATGCTGGATTTGACAGTTACAGTGGATAAGTATTTTGTCTTGTATAATTTGGATAATCTGGATCATATCTCTACCTGTGACTATTATACTGACAACGAACATAGTAAGTTGGTGGGCGGATAGTTCATATATTCTTTATCTGTCTTCGACAAATAAAACATAATTATTTCAGAAACAAGCTTAAATAAAACAGATATGCTGTATCAAAA